GGGGCGACACTGAGGGTTGCGATCCGTTGCCGGACACGGAAAAAGACAAAAAAAGGAAAAACAAAAAACAAAAAACCACCTTTCAGTAGGTTCCCACACACTTGTAATGAAATCCAGTCTTTATAACATGGCCAACATGACCCAGCACATCTGATCCCAATTCATCTCCTCACACTCATCTCCTTTCATTCTGCCCTTGATCATTAAGTTTCAGCCACTCTGTTTTCTCCATTTCCTTAATTGTGATCATAAAGTTTTAGTCACTCAAGTTTTCTCCATTTCCTTAACTGTGCTAAGCTTTTATAAAGCCCAGGGTCTTTACATGTGTTATTTCCTCTGCTAGAATGTTCTTCCTTTGGCTGTTTAGATAACTGATTCTTCTCTTTATCTAGGTCTTGCCTTAAATGGTACTTCTGAGAGGTCTTCCCTGATGACCACATCTGCTGTCATCTCTAATTTATTGTTCTGTTTCATGTCATGTTGGTTTCCTTCATAGCAGTGTCCGAAGACATAATGACTTTATTAAATTGCTTTCAGTCTGCTTTCTTGACTTTGTCTTTCTTTAGTAGTGAAAATTAGTTTCAATGAGCAGATCCTCTGTCTGCTCTGTATGGCTAAGTACGTAGCACAGTGCTTGGTTATAGTTTTCTCTATACTAGATATTTATTAAATAAATGAGCAAACAAATAAGCAACATAGAGGGTGGGGATTATGTGGAGAGTATAAGAAAATATTTCTTCCTCAACTTTGGCACTAAAATATATTCTATGATAAAACAAAACTAAAAATAAAATCATTTCAGGTGGTAAGACTTCTGATAGTAAAAAGCAACTATGTAATAGAAAATATTTTCTGGGGAAGTTACCAAAGACGAAAGTTATCTGGACTTCCTTTGGAATTGCAAAATTTTGCTGTTACAATGTATTATTATCTAGTAGGATGTATTCTTTACAAATTTGGAAAAGTCACAGATTTAACTTGCATTATGCTTTAGTATTCTCATCTTCTATGAGCATATTTAATTAACTTTAGGACCTTTCCAGTGATTTAGGATAGTCATTAGTAATGAGAAGTAACAAGGCAGTTTATTTAACAAATATTTATTATTATTTGCTAGGTAGATGTGGTTCCTATCTTCGAGGAGCCTCACAGACAAGTAGGGGTGATAGTCATAAAGAAATCCTCCTCATCTTCTGTGGCAGCATAAATAAGAGGCACACATAAGGATCATGATGGAACAAAGGAAGGAGTTTTCAGATCTAGATGGGAGCACTGACTATATCCTAAAGCAGGTGATGTTGAGTTTGGTCTTGAAGGAATAAGAATTTGCTAGATATGGACTTCCATGGCTGTCAGGAAGAATGTACAAAGACACAGAAGCATGATTAAGGTAGTGTGTTCTGGAATCTGCAACCACAGGGAAATGAGGCAGTGAGGTTGGAGAGGTAGACAAAACCAGATTGCAGAATGCCTTATATGCTGTGGATATAAATTAGAATTTACCCAGCAGGCAGTGTAGGGGCCTTTATCTTGACAGTAATCGGATTATATAATTCACATTTTAAAGAGTTCATTAGAGGATGAAGCGTAGTCCCTAATAGGGGAATCTGGTAATGAAGAGTGAAGAATGAGATTGCCCAGGAAGATCAGAGATGGACCTCGGTAGAGAGGGGACACTAAGAAGGAGGAAGAGACTGTGATCCTGAGATCCCAGTGGCAGCAGATGAAAAAAGCAACATGTCACAGAAACCAAGGGAAGAGATCTTTTTTAGGAAGAAAGGAAAGACTGGTCAAGAAGATAAAAATTAAGATGGAAGGATTGCATTGCATAATTAAGATGTCTTTAGTGACCTTAGCAAGAGAAATGTTGGTGGGATGATGGAGGCAAAATCCACCTGGGTTGTTTGGGGATGAAGGAGAAATGAGAAAATGAAAACAACCCAGGGCAGACGTGCAGCCAGCCATGGTTCTCATTTGTTTTTGTTGTTTAGTTTGCAGTAAATGGTAGAGATTTGACCTTGACTGTATACTCTGCTGAGAGGGAAGAGGTACAGGAACTGGGCTCTCGATGCCCACGTTGCTTTAGATGTGTGAAGCAAAAGGGAAGGGACATAAGAAAGGAAGGGTGCAGATGGAGGCAAGGTTGTAGGTAAAGTATGAAAGAGAGGGTATTTCCTCTGATATTGGGAGGAAAGTATGTGCGTGTGAAGCAAAAGGGAAGGGACATAAGAAAGGAAGGGTGCAGATGGAGGTAAGGTTGTAGGTAAAGTATGAAAGAGAGGGTATTTCCTCTGATATTGGGAGGAAAGTATGTGTCAAGAGAGGGGAACAAAGGTGGCCCTCAAGCAGAAAGACGATGCCCTGGCCGGGCCCACCAGAAGTCTAGGCGAGGCTGCTGACAATGGCAGTGAGATTATGGCTGAAGGATGTGACTTGATAGAACCAGACTCACTGGGGAAGTGAGCAGAGGGGGCTATGGGAAGTGGCCAGAAAAAAAGGGAGTAGAGTGAGGCTAGAGAAGCAAGTGCATCATGAGCAATGAAGAGGGCCAATCCTGGAAAGGTAGCAACTGCTCGTAAGCAGTATCTCAGAATCATACATGTAAATGCACATTTTGTTACCAGTTACTGGGAAGGAGGTACTTATCTTGCATGTAATACTGCTGTTGCCCAGAATGGTGTGGGGAACGTCCCTCCTGGAACTGTGCTTAGAATCTGTCAGGCAGCTTTTGACTATTTGGAGTCTTGGAGATTCTTAGCTCTTTTGGAAATAGATTTGATTTTTGCAAACTGCCAAGTCATTCAAAGCCAAGTTTGGTGAGGAAAGTAGACAATTTAGCTGGATAATACCATTTTTGGTAGAAATGGAAATGCGGGTTTAAATAACAGTATGATTTTTCTCATGTGGCTTATAAAAGGCCCTGATAGTAATTTGCAAAGAGAGCAATGACCTTGTCTTTGGAATGTATATGGATTCTCAAAACAAAGTTTTTTTGAGGGACACATTCTTTTGGATGTAAATGTCTTAAAAGATTTTGAGGTCATATTCCTTTAGAGTTATACAGTACTAAGAAAATACCCATATAGAGTATAGAAGGCTTCCACCATTATATCTATAAAATCTTTTGTGTCTTCATTATTGAAATCCTTTTATGCCAAGGTGATGTTGAAAGTTGAACGAGAATATTTTTATGGCCAACTTTATTTATGATCTATTTCTTTACTTATAAACTGTGAAATAGAATTTGTCCAACACTTTGAGGTACCTAAATGAAAGGTTATGATAAAGGCTTACCTAAAGACATTATGTTGTCATAACTTAATTTGTCAAAATTTTGATATGTTTGTGATTAGAGATTCTGGTGGTTCTCCATCTCCTTGAGGTACCAGAAAGAAGTGGCAATTTTTGTCCTCAAATTCCTGTCTTTGCAAAATAACACTGATGATGGTGACCAGATTGAATAATATCATAGGAAGTAGCTATGAACTACAGAATAATTCACCAAGAATGGGATTTGTAACTACCTACAAGGTGGCAAAATTACTTTCCTGACTCTAGAAGAGCAGTGTTCACAGAATTCAACCATATGGGAAACCTGCTCTGCCAAGCTGTTTGCAGTTCCCGTATATGAAAATGCACGATTCTTGTTTGAGTTGCTTTCATCTCATGCTTTCTACTTAAGTTGGTTCCTTAGTAAAAGGCAGTGAACATGCCCTCTTTCTCAGTGTGGGAGCACTATTGGCATTCCGGGCAGACAGCTCTTCCTAGCACTTGTGACTCCCAGCCATGCAGCAAGGTTGGCACCCCTGGCTTCCTGGCCTTAAATGCCAGTAGCCCTCACAAGTCCAAGTCCTTGTGGCGGTCAGAAAAGCCACCACACATTTCCAAATGACCTCTGGTTGTTTATAGACTGCCAGGCCCTGGTGGGCTTGTTTATAAAAAGCCAGGGAAGAGAGACGACATTCTTTTCTGTCTCTTTCACTCTTATTTTACTTTTATTTATTTATTTATTTTTTTCTTTCTTTTTTTTTCTTTCTTTCCTTTGTTTCCTTTGGGTGTGGTATGAGGAATGACAGAAATAGGAAAAAGGAATCTTCATTAAAGAATGACTGAAAACCAATTAATAATCCAAGGGAAGGCTATGGGAGAATAGGAGAAAACAGAAAATAGAGCAGTAGTGGGTAAGCTGGAAGAAATGTTTCTGCCACATTTGTCTGTGGTCTCTTGTGATTTTTTTTCTGAAGCCAAGAATAAGATTTCCTGTAAGAATGCTTATGTGTTGTTGCATTTTGGGGTATAACTGATAGCAGAGGCACCCTAAATAGATTTCACTAAGAATATAGTTAAAATTGTATAAGGGTTTAAATCCAGACTCTTAAAGAAGAGAACAACTTGTTATAAGGCAAGTCTGTTTTGTCTTTATCTGAGAGGGTGAGGAGGTTTTATTACAGACAGGCCCAAACCTTTTGCTTTAAAGTGATATTACTTATATGATTGTCCAGGAACATGGACTCCAAAATAATTTTAGCTCTTGTGTAGCAAATTTTTTATTTTAATTTTTACAAAATGAAGTTCTCATTTTGTACCAATATCCTTTTCTAAAAATAGTGTACCTGGCTAGCATTTAAAAGTTATAACTTTTAGCTTGCCATGATTGCTAAAAGTCATCTGTTGTGTATTTTTAAAATCTGCATTGACACTTGTGGACCATTCATGCCATACTGAAGCTGATTTTCTACTTTATTTTTTCAGTTGTTCATGGTGGACAATGGAGCAGATGACTGGAGAATAGCCATGACTTATGAGCGTATTTTCTTCATCTGCTTGGAAATACTGGTGTGTGCTATTCATCCCATACCTGGGAATTATACGTTCACATGGACGGCCCGGCTTGCCTTCTCCTATGCCCCATCCACAACCACCGCTGATGTGGATATTATTTTATCTATACCAATGTTCTTAAGACTCTATCTGATTGCCAGAGTCATGCTTTTACATAGCAAACTTTTCACTGATGCCTCCTCTAGAAGCATTGGAGCACTTAATAAGATAAACTTCAATACGCGTTTTGTTATGAAGACTTTAATGACTATATGCCCAGGAACTGTACTCTTGGTTTTTAGTATCTCATTATGGATAATTGCTGCATGGACTGTCCGAGCTTGTGAAAGGTAAGTGTGTTTCTTTTCCTGAAAACATAATTTGCTATACAGTATCTTCAGAAATGGGAGAAAGAACACATTTTAGATTTGAGGTACATAGTGCCTCACTCTTGAAAATTTTGGATTCTCTCTCTGTTGGGCTTCTTTTAGATGACTGTGACGAAACTTTTCTGAAGGTTTCTGTGCAGACTAAATGCCTTCATGACTGTATTTTTCTTCCTAATCTGATTAGTTTTCAATAGAGGGCTACCTTTATAATCTGTGTCAAAATTTGGATATTTAGAAATTGTACAGGACACTTCTGTTGAAAATGTTAGTTTAATGATAACAGTGAGTCATTTCTTTGATTTGCTATAAGCATTGATTACTGTTGAGACAAAATCCAGTGGAAAAGTGTTGATGCAAGATGTCTTAACTTTAGGGAATATCTTAAAGTGGTTTGTTGATTTCAGTGCCTATTTATGATAGCATTCACATGATTACCTGGTAAGGGGCATGTGGGTGTACATACATATGTAATAGTTTTTATTGAACTTTCAATACTTGGTGAGAAGAGGAAGTGTGCATTTGTTCTATTGTGTGCAGAGCTCCGGTGGTCTACAGCTAGACACATTCTCAGGTTTCAGAAGCTGCTAGTGAGATTGAATTCGTCAGTTATAGCATCAATAATGTTAACTTTGCCATTTAATAAACAAACAAACATAGATTTATGACATGAACAAGAAGAGCTCTATCGTAATGGGCTGGGGAGTATCCTCACATGACCTTGGTTAAGAAACTTCAAGTTGAAATTAGCAATAGAGAGATAGGAACAATTTAAAAATGTCTAGGCGTGTTCAATGTCCAGATGTTAGACTTTGTAGTAACCAGGTTTTCTTTAGTTGTCAAACATCAAAGTTATACACACATAAAGTTTAAGAAGAAAAAAATCTGTATGAGAGTTGCTGCAAAAATATAGCAAATCCACAATACCCCCAACCCCTGTTTCTGCATTCCAGAAGCAATTGTTTTAAATTCTTTTAGGCATTTATTTGGTATTTGCTTTTTATGTTTCTAAATGAAATTGCTTGTACTGCTCTATCTAGATCTTTCTGTTTTAGAACTATCTATTAACTCCCTATTATGGAAGTTGGGGTTTTAGCGTTCTTTCCCTTACATATTCACATCCCTTTTGCAACTCCACTCCCCCTCCCCAAAGTGATTTCTACCCCCCATCCTCCCAGTACATTATATAACCCCCAATAATCTATATTCCATTTTAAAATTGTTATGACTATGTAAACTGCATTCGCAGCTGGACAGCACAGTATATTATCATTTTTCCTTTCCTGCACAACTTTTTATTTTCATGGAATTAATAATTGCCTCATTTTTTATTTGCTTAGTTTTCTGAATACTTACCACTAAATCATCTCTAAATTCTCCCACAAAATATCCTTTCACTCTATTCTATTATATTAGGCAATTTCACCTTGAAGAAATGACTCTTGGAACATTCTGACCTCTTTCTCCATCATGTTGCCAATTTTCTTTGCCTTTTTTGTATGTTGAGATTCCTCTTTCTTCATTTACTCCTTTATTTTGGCAGAGTCCATCTTCTTGTAGTTTCTAAGAAAAGGTAGTGTGTGGAGAGACAGTTTTTGAGAACTTGCAGACATGGCAGTCTTGATTCTTCTCAGAAAAAACTGTAACTGGAAATCACTTTCCTTCAGAATATTGAAGTCTTCATTTTTGGCATCCAGGGTCCAGAAGTTTGCTGTCATTCTCATTTGTGGTCCTTTTTTTTTTTTCCTGGAAGCTTTTAGGATTGGTAGTCTAAAACTGCACAAGGATGTATCTTAGTGTGAATCTGTTTTATCCATGGAACTTTGTTAGCCAATTCAGTCTTGGTATTCATGTCTTTCAGTTCTTGGAAATTTGCTGAAATTACTTAATGATTTTGTTTATGTTGTGTGGATAATAGCCTTCCTATATTGATTGTCTGATTTTCTCATTTTCTTTTTTTATTGATCCATCTCTGTTTTTGCTTGGAATTTAAAGGATTAACTCAATTTTATCTTTCAAACTTTCTTTTGGGATTTGATTTCTTCTGTGTTGTATATTAATTTCCAATATCTAATTTTTGATCCCTGCACACTCACTTTTTAAAATAGCGTCATGCTTTTCTTTCATAGATATACTGTTTTATTTCTCTGGAGATGTTAATGATACTTTTCAAAATTTTTTCTATTTGCATATTTTTTTGTTTCCCCAAGGACACATTTTTCTTTTTGTTTTGGCTTCTGTTTTAGAAGCTTTCTTTAAATGTTTAGGTATCTTTGGCTGCCTGCTTATACTTAACAGTGAACCACTTACGAGGTGATTTGGAGCTTTCTGTCTGTACATATCTGGAACTTGTCAACTATGGGCTTCACTTAAGGGTGATGGGGGAGGGGAGCACAACACACCAATTTCAGTACCTTTACATATTTTCCATTTTCTTGACAATCTGATCATCCATGGGAAGTGTTTTCTACTGTCCTGAGATGATGAAGGTGGAAGCCTGCATGAAGCATTGCTGGGAATTGAAAAGGCAAGAAAGAGATCTCAACCGTTAATATGTAAACATTTTCTTATTTTTCTGGCCCCAGTATAGTTACCCTGCTCTCCTTAGTGTTTGATGCCCAGCAATCAGTCCACAGACTTTGTGTTTTACCCTCTCCAGACAGTAAATTTCCATACTTCTGCCATGTTGGCAGGGAACAGTTAGTATTCACACGGAAGGGAAGAGGGAATCTAGGTGTCTAACTGCTTCTATGCAGTCTTTAAGCCTCATCTCCCATTTAAAGCTCTACCATTAGCCCCACTTTTAGTACCAAGGTACTGGTGCCCACAATGCCTGAAGTCTGGGTGAGGGCGTGGCTCTCAGGGCACTTGTGGTTGCATCTTGGTATTTTACCACTGCTGCTCCAGAATTCTGCTTTCTTGAGTCAGGTAAGTCAGTGACCACCTGAAGTGACGAAAGAAGCCACAAAAGATCAGCTTTTTAGCTTCTTTTTACTACTGTCTTGTCACTCTCTCTTGTAGTTCTTATGGGTTTATGCTTTTTTTTTGTTTGCTGTTTTAAAATTATAGTGATTTTAAGGGGGTTAAGGGAAGGGGCTGAGGTCAGCATGTTTGTCAAGTCTACCTGCTTTTCCTGGAAATTCTGTTGTGACTAGTTTTTAATATCATGTATCTGAACCTTTTTTAGAACTTCTGTACATAAATATGGCATTTGAGGGATTAAAGTTTTCTTTTTGAAGAAAGATAGATTCCTTATGTTAAGGCTTTGTTTCCTAGCAATCATGGTATTTAGAGGCTTATTATATTTTCTGGAACAGATGTACCTATAAAGTTTGAAGAATGAATATGGAAAACCTTAGTTGACATACCTGTTTATTTTGTAAAGATTAGTCTTAAGAGACATGCATAACAATGTAACAGTGAGATAAAATTATAGTTTAATGATATATCTTTGTGGATGGTCTCTAGTGCATCCGCTTTTCAAGGGCCAATTAAAATAGCCTCAAAATTGTGCACATGCTGTAAGTTTTCTTTTCAAAAACAGTTCATCTTAGCTGTTTTAACCCATTGCCACCAAATACAGAAAGCCTAATGCAAGCTGTGCCAAATTTTCTTAGCAGCCCAAAATATGTGTTTTTTGTTTTTTTTTTTAACATACCTAGATTGTTACGTGATGGCCATTCCTGTTTTCACATAAAGAGGCAATAAAAACTGAAAATTGTCCATCTCATAGCACGAATGAGAGTTTGTAGCCAGCAGTTACATGAAGAGAACAAATCTGTAATGGGGGGTAGGGGTAGGGACAAAGGGCAAGACTCTAGATTGGGACACAGGGATTTAGTCCCAGGTGTGCAGTTAGGGATCGAGGGACCTCGGCCAGCCGTCTCATTTCTTTTTGCCTTAGTTTCTTCATTTGCAAACTAGGTGGCTTGCTAACTTTTCCTTTTCCAAAGGTAACATTTATATTGTACAAATGTATAAAAGAAAAATAAATCATTTAACCAGCATTGTGATAGTAGAAAATTTCCCACATTTGATTTTTCATTAAATATCCCATTTTGCTGCACAAGACCTCCAGACTGTGACTTGTAAAATACAAAGACGTAGTTTTAAAACAAAAAAAGTGCTTTGTTTTTCCTACAAAGTTGCAATTTTGAACATGATGTTACCAGCGTTTTTCATTAAATATCCCATTTTGCTGCACAAGACCTCCAGACTGTGACTTGTAAAATACAAAGACGTAGTTTTAAAAACAAAAAAAGTGCTTTGTTTTTCCTACAAAGTTGCAATTTTGAACATGATGTTACCAG